GGAGCAGGTCAATAAATTGTGGGTTGACGCACCAGTAATCGCGAGGTCACGAGTTCAAACCCTGTTGAAGTCCTGAATTTTTTTCAGGCTTCTTTACGCATTTGCATAAATTGCATTCACTGCGACGATCATTTCCTCATTTTCATTTCATTTCCGCAGTTCATATATGATTTATTTCATATATCATTAACACTAACACACCTCAAAAATGCTCTGGCCAAGCAAGCACCCACTTCCCCATCACGGGTAAATTCATTCAGATGACCGCCCCCCCGGAAAGGAGAAGAATAGTGGTGAAGTTGTAAGATCCTGAAGGTGTCAAGAAACAAGGCAATCTACACCTTTAATTTCTCATTAAGGTGCACACCTGAAGACCCCTTAGAGCAAACAATTCACCAACTAATCCCTTATATTGAAGGATCATCTTGTTGTGAGAGGACATATTGTGATAACAAGGTTCTTAGTGTACGAGATAAAAATCATAGGCAACTTGAAGTTTTTACTTAACTTAACTTTACACAGAGTTGACTAACCTGGGAGAAGTCTTTCTGCGGCATCCACAGCTAGCCTTAAGAGGGGTCCCTGGCATGGCCAACCTTCTTCCACCTTCACTCCTGCCCTTTGGGCAAGTAAGTGAGCTGATAACAGGCCACCAACAACTGAAAAAATAAAATACATGAAACAAATAAAAAAGGGGGTCACATTTACATTTTACACGTAATGGGAACAAACATGCACGAAACAATAAAAATTCTTACACAATGGCTGGCGACAAGGAAACACTTGATTTCATCCTCATTTCAAATTTTCTTACAATCTCAGCATGCAGATTTTCTTACCTCTAATATTCGTCTCAAACACTGACACATTTATGTCCATGTCGAAATTTAGGGTTTCACTTAACAGCTTTGAAACCCTTTGAAATTCAGACGCATTTCCAAGAATCTGAAAGAAGGAAATACATCATTGATAAGACTCAAAAGTTAGAAGTGAAGCAAAAATCTTAAAATAACTCTGAACATGAAGAGACCAGAGAAGTTCCTTATGGTTTTCATGGTTACTGCTGAATAAAATTTATTTCTTTGCATTTGGCCATCACTTTACCTACTAATTATTATTGGGCATACTGTGATTGTCAGAAGAAGAAGGCTTAGATTGGAGTTGAGAGGTGAGGCTACTTGGATATTTTAATTAAAATAACAATAAAATATTTTTATATAAAGACAGACAATATCATCACAGTTAAATATGCAGCGTAATGGAGTTCTGAAAAGAAAGCCTGAAAAAATTCAGGCTGCCGGGATTCAAACCCTAACCTCTGCGATACTGGTGCAGAGCTCTAACCAATTTTCAAGCTAGCAAGCCAACTGGGAGCTGGTCATGAAATTGGTTCATAATATATCCAGAAAAGATTATTGTGATGATCTTCTCTGCATTTATTTTTCATCCTGCAGTTCAAATATATGAAATTCATATATTTATCGTTTCAAGAAAATAATAATAAATATTTCACAAGATGAAAACATTATGTGTGACTGCATGAGTCCACAAAGAAAACAACAACACAACCCTGATGACAGTAATTTAGTTTATTGGAAAAACCAAACCAAGGAAGGCCAATGCAAGGCAGTAAGAGCAGGCAAAGATCTGTCAGAGATTTTCCTCTACAACTAAACTCCAAGTGACCCAATGTATCGAGACTAGTGCTAATTACCAGGAAAACACACGACACTGTTCACAACAACAGAAACTGTGACTGGTTAATCCATTGACGGCATGGCCTGTAAACGGCTACTTTAGAACATTGAGATTACTTAGCCATCAAGCAAAAAAGACAAATTTGAGGCGTGATTGTAAATTCAAATACAGGAGGCATTTAAATAAAATGAATAAACATTTTTTATTGAAATCTTAGCTATA